GAGATGCTCAGGAACAACCCTTCCATTTATCAAGCTGTCCAAGTGCCATCTTTGATGAATAGCACAAGTCTGGCCAAAACACTGGACATCTCAGGGCCTTCTGATCACTTCTTAACACCAATTAATATCACTGGCTGGAAAGCAGAATTCTACCTAGCAGCAATTAGCACGGCACAGAATACTAATTACATCTGTGTGAGTGAGAGGAAGATCCACCTTTGATGGCTAATTTCAGAAGGATCAGTGTTCGCGGTGGCCCCTCAGGGTAGAGTCATTGTAATGAGTTGGTCAATAGCTGAAGAGTAGAGGCTCAATTACAAAGAACACGGGGTGGAACCCTTCAGGCTAAACAAGAGCTAGGGCTGTCAATCAATGCTCGGCTTCAAGAGGCACATGACAGGGTAACAGTTACATCTTAAGCTGGCCATATACAGAGCACATTTGGCTGGTTCTTCATGAACCGGCCAAAATTCCCCTTGTGGGTGGCCTCCCGCCTGATATTCTTCGATAGAAAAATCAAGATCCAGTCGAGTGGCAAATTCTTGGTTGACCAGTATCTGCAGCCAGTCGCAGACAATGCTCGGGTATTCTGACAGCTGCGGGCACCGTAAACCATAATCACATGTGGTAGAGTTATATTAAGATTTAGATTTATCTAAAAAAAAAATAGTATTAAACTTTCCAATTATGAATCCGGACCAAACAAATATACATCACCCAGAAAAGTGTTTCTTTTTTGCCCAAACACTTTATTGTGTTTCCAAAAAGCTCCAACTCTCTCAGCCTGGCTTCCTTTAACTTCCTGTGCAGTATAAGATCACAAGGGACAGAGCAGCCTCCAGCGGCTGTCCATCTACAAGCCTGGAGAAGGGAGGAGTGGGGAGCAGAGGATTGGCTTGCCTTGCAGTGCCTGAGACACGCAGCTTACTAGTACACACTCCATAGGACCCTGCAAGGGAAAGGATCCTAAAACAGGATATGAGGACCAGTGCTCCGGAGACCAGCTGATTCTGCAGGAAGCTAAAACTTTTAAACATCAAGGAGCAGCATCCATTGAATGTGATTTCATCAGCATCAGTTTAACACCCTTCTGACTTTAATATCACTTTATTTTTATTTTGTTGCCCATGCATACACTTTAACCACAAACTGGCCACAATGGTCTGCCTTCCAACATTACCTTTTCATTACTGGCCCATCTGCTGCCTTCCAGCAAGAATAAAACACAATTCAATAAATTGTTGGAGAAGACAATCGGGGCCGAGGTTGGGAAATGTCAGCTGTTTACATCTTATAGAAAGATCACGCTGTAAGACAAGCTGGATTAATTACCCTTTAAAATCAGATTTTTACGCTTCCGCCACTCCAAGCGAACTAATACATATACAATTAAATGGAGATTTGTTTTGGCTGTGACGGCTGCAGTACGCTTCAGATGCACGGAGGACAGGGAACTCATCTTTTACAGGAGCGATGTGCAAACCAAGGAAAACATATAAAGCATAAATGTTATGATACTAAACTCAGGAATTATATCATAAAAATGCGTTCAGGTACCTTAACTATTAACAAAAATGTATCTTATTTGTGTATCACTCGGCTGTAGATCCTCCAATCATCTCTGAATTGGTGCTGACACTGTCCTTCCTTCTGGAGGGGGGCTACTTTTGTTCCCCATGGCCCCTGTGTGTGTTGCAAGCTCGCTCTTTTGATGGACTACAATCTCAATACAAATGAACAGACTAAATGTGAGATTGTAGTCCATCACGGGACCGCCTGAGACTATTTGAGCACCAATAGAGATTTTCCTCTATTTGAACTGAAAATATGGTTCTGATAATCCTTTATGCATTAGTCATGGAAGGTAGAAATTGAACAGTACCCTCCTTAAAGAACAACTCCAGGGAAAAATGTTATTAACCCTAGTAGTGGGGCTACCCCCGCACTGCAAAGGGTTAAAAGGTAACCTTTTTATCCCAAAGTTCTTTTTAGGGTCACAGGACGACATATAGCAACGTCCTCCCATGACTCAAAGCTCAGTATATAGTGAGCTATTGCCTGCTATATACTGAGAGCGCCGCAGCCGGGACGGATCCCAACAATATTGTCAAGATCCACAAAAGCAGTCTGATTGACAGCAGGCTTTGCCTATCTGGAGGCAGAGCCAGCTGTGCCCGCCCCCTCCCCGTATGTTCCTCCAGTCAGCACTGGAGGATAGAAGAGGGGAGGGAGGAATCCCTGCGGGGAGCCGTGACTGACAGATGATCGGGAAGTGATCGAGCAACGGTATGTGTTCGCTCACTTCCCGATCTATTGAGCCGACCTGTGACAGTTTTAGTGTCGCACATCGGCTCGAACTATGAGGCTGACTGAAAATCACTTGCCTCATAGTTCCCCTTTAACTGCTCGTTTTTATCTAAGTGCTTAAAAAAAAAAAAGTTATACTCATCCGAACTGCGCAGCCAACTCCCTGCTTCTCCAGTCACTGAAGCGTGTCTCCTCCTTCTCTGCACAGATAAAAGGTTCCTCAGTGCCCCCACGTCTATACACTTGCATGGAACGGGTTTTCACAAAGATTGATAGACCGCTGCAGAGGAGGGGGGGCTCTGGGGTCCGGTCCAAGAACAAGACGGCTCAAATGTGGGTATAACGTTTTTTTTTTATTTTAGCACCTAGACACAAACGCTCACAGTAAAGATGTAGCACCACTGCAAGGGTTAATAAAAATGTTTTCCTCTGAGTTCTTCTTTAGTTTTAGAGAAGAAGCGCGACCAATCAGTGACAATGTTTTGATCTCATTACAAAAGGGGAAGACGTTTCGAAAGATGGCATGGCCAGGCGAGGGATGGTTAACCAGGCGGAGCATCTTTTCTGGCCGTACATCATATAATATTATGCGACCACAAAGATTAGGAAATTTATCAAATCGTATTGCAGGCCGGGTGAGGACACAAAGATAAGGCCCTTTCACACCCTGCGGCCACTTTCCCCAGCAAGGGTAACGGATTGTGAGTTCAGAAGTAATAAAGCGTTATAGAGCTTATCAAATGTTTTGTACTTCACAGCCCCGTATTACGACTTTTTGTCCCCTTGGATCCCTTCTGGAAGTCTGCTGTAGAAAGATGAATGATTCTCATTTTGTCTCTCATAGAGTGCAAGCATTCAGAACATGACAGCTCTCCCTGGGTGGGCTTATCTCCGCTCTTCTGGGTTTCACCACTCATTATTGGGTCTATCATTTGTTGCTCCCACCACCGCTGCCCTGCTCCTCTCTTCTGCTCCCACTCCCTCCTTCCCACCCTTCTCCCTTTCCCCACGTTTTCTGTGGTGAATGTTTATTCTCCATGTCCCCCTTCTTTTCTCTTCTGTGTTCTTCTCCTTAAAAGTGTTTTGTTTGTTTCTCTCTCTTTCTTTCCTTTTCTGTGCCTTGTCATCCTCATGTCACTCGCCTAATCTTTTAAACCTAGTGGGGTGCAGGTGCCCAATTGGCTATTTCCTATGATCAGGGTTCTGGGTCACTACACCTTTTATATACTAAGCCATGATAGTCGTTCACCCATCTTAAGCTGTACTGTATTTGGATGCTCGTCATTCTACTTGATATTCCTATAACACGGAACGTGCTGTTGTCTTCGTTTACTCTTTGATACAAGGCTTGTTCACACCATGCCCGGACCAGATCCAGACCAGTACAGTTTTTATGTGCACCTGAAATGCATCCTAATGCATTCCTATGGTATTTCTTGTCTCTGTTCACACCAGTGTAGTCTGTTCCGGTGTAAAGGCACTATTCTTTCTGGTCTGGAACGCATAAAAATGCATGCAAATGCACTGGAACACACTGGACTGTGGATATGTTTGCATCATGTCCGAACCAGAGCTGCATTGCGTTTTTGACGCATTCTGTATATAACCTGTGAAGATGGCAGGGCTGTGGGAGGGGACCCAGCAGGTCCCCCCACTACAGCAGGAGTGGGCCAACTATGGACCTCCAGCTGTGGTGAAGCTACAAATCCCATCATGCATGTGCCTCTGGGATTCAAACCTGTGGCTGTCAGGGTCTTGCAATGCCTCATGGGATTTATTGCTGCACCAAAGCTGGAGGGCTGAAGTTTGCCTACCCCTGCCCTACAGGCTTCACGTAAAAAACTAGAGGGGGTAGAGACAAGACTAGGCACGAGGATAGAGTAGCAGTGAGCAGTCTTTATTACAGGAGGGGGTGGAGACAAGACCAGTCACCCTGCACAAGGGGAGAGTAGCAGTGAGCAGTCTTTATTACAGGAGGGGGCGGAGACGAGACCAGTCACCCTGCACAAGGAGAGAGCAGTGAGCAGTCTTTATTACAGGAGGGGGCAGAGACAAGACTAGTCACCCTGCACAAGAAGAGAGAGTAGCAGTGAACGGTCTTCATTACAGGAGGGGGGGAGACAAGACCAGTCAACCTGAACGAGGAGAGAGAGTAGTGGTGAGTGGTCTTTATTACAGGAAGCTGCAAGTCTTCAAGGATTCATGGAAGAATACAAGGGACTCTCGTATGAGGACAATATTTGCTTATCCTGAAACCCAGCTTTAAGATGCAGAGATTGATCATTGTACTCTGAAATAGAGAATACCCATACCACAGAGAAACTTCTTTAAGTCTTTTCTTTTTTGGATTTGCTTGTTCCCTTCTTCCTTTTATGTATGAGCTGAAGACCTTATCCTGCGCAGTCTGAGCTCTCTTACACTGAATATCCTCCAAGTTCCAGGCGAGCTAGTCCTAGCCTATCTGCATATGCACAAAACCCTTTGGGTTCTCAATCCTGCCCATCCTGCCAAGGCTTTTGTTATGCGATCTGAAAGCAAGGTGGCCAGTGGCAGGATGGACTGCTGCTTCAGCGGATTCCAATAGATTTCGGGTCGGGGATTCATTGTGAGCGCAATGTATTACGGTCCCAGCCCTTGCAGACTGGGTTCCCACCATTGTTCCATGTGACAACAGGATATAATTGCTTACTTACTTGGCAGCGAACTTAACCATCTGCTTGCTCGCCCGCTCTCCCACAGCCACCAGAGCCTGGACGTTGAACTGCTGCTGACGCAGGACCAGAAAACACTGCTTTCCTGTGGAGAGGAAACCGTACAGGTGTATTGTGCACTTGTTACATCGCGCTAACACAACAAATCAGCAGCGGGGGGGTGGGCTGGGGTTTAGAATGGAAATACAAAAATAGATTGCTACCATTTTGGAAAAGGACTGCTGGTCGGCTTGCGTTAAGTGTTATTCACACATATTCGTTGTCAGTTTGTACTTTACGTGTTAATAAAGGAATAAGAATGCAGAAAAAGTTACACTCAATTCACACTTTTCTTTACGTTTTATTGCAAATTTGAATATTCATATATGATAAGAAGCCATCATGTTATCACTAAGCTCAGGCATTCTTTTTCATTAAAGCAGAACTCCGGACACAAATGTTAATAACCCATGCAATGGGGCTACTCCTGCAATGGTTTTTGGTAGGGTTGGAGATCTAAGGGCCTGTTCACATGAGTTTCAGGTCCTGATCAGGTGCGGATCTGCAGACGCGGTGCTATGTGTTTTTGCCGCGTTTTTTTTATGCGTTCCAGTAAAAAAAAAGTGGGGCTGTCAGTATGTTTGCTGCAGTGCAGTGCGTTTGACGCGTTTTGCGTTTCCGGACAAAATGTGACATGCAGTATTTTTACTGTCGTAACCTGAACGGACTGCGCACATGAGAACTGTAGCCCATAAAACACATAGGGATACGTTGGGATGCATTTTTAGTGCAGGAGCGTACGGATCAGGTCAGCGCAGAAAACGGACGTCGCGTGAACAGGCCCTAAATCTCGATTTTGCAGTTCTTCAGGGACTGCATTGGTGCCTTATGATTGGTGTAACGCTTTCACATGGGGCCAGGGAAGACATCCATAGCCCAGCGCAGGCTCTCACAAGTCAGTTTGTAGCTTACATATGACTTTCCTTCCCTGGTCCTAGCTTCTGAAAGAAGCAGATCAATGTGAGTGTACTACTGGAGGGGTTAAGTGAACGTTATACTTTGCTCTGTATGGGCAAAGGACAGTTTCACCTTTAAAGCGGACCTTTAACCATATCTTTAAAACAACAAAGCACACCTTTAGAAATGTTTAGTAATGACAATCTACAATCACATACTTCTAGATAATTGCCGGCTTTGTATTCTTTACATATCCTATTTCTCTTTTCTTCCCCAGTCTTCTGACAGTGGCCATGTTTACTAAGGGCAGATTACTAGCACTCCTTTTACTTCCTGAATTTCTGGCACATGCGACTAGGACATGTGACATCATCTCAGGGGAGGAAAATGCCTTTCCCTGAGATCTTGTGAAATTACAGATGAGATTTCCCAGCAATGCTCTGCTGGTGACAAGGCAATCCCAGTGTGCATTACTTTGCCAAACTGAAGTTATTTGCCCTTTTCCGCTTTATATCTGCAATGATGGCATGGTATCTTACTGTCTATGACTGTTTTGTATGTGAGCAGCATGGCAGCCATGGTATCTAAACCTAGACATGATACTCTAATAAAATTATATAAACTCTACATTTCCTTGAACAAGTATTTATTAGCACAGGGGCTCTTTTGAGCTTAATATAAGAATATAAAAGTATTCTATCAAAAAGCATTTTTTTGCAGTGTATGACCAGCACAGCAGCCATTTTGTATCGATAAATCAAAGTCGACAGCAATATTTTCCATTCTTCTACTGTACCACTATATAGTGAATGTGCAGTGAACATGGCAGCCCTTCTGTGTGCCAATGTTTGTTTTCAGTCACTCAGCACGCCTGACAATCACTAATGGCCTATACCCTTTCCATGACAATGGATCCCCGGGCTGGTACAGTTTAGGAATGTTTATTTTGCTGCACTAAAATAACATGACATTTGGGAAATGTGAACCACGCCTGCAGAGCAGCCAGCACACCCAGGGATGGAGACTAGGGCTGCTGGGTCCAGGACTTTCACAAAAAGGCAGGAACACTACAACGATGAAAGATCTTCAAGTATTTGGTGTATTCATATTTATCGTGACGTACCAAGCCACAAAAAAAATCTTTCATCTTATTTATTGTCATGACTCAACTCTCACACAAATGCATATTGTTGTGCACCGGGGTTCCGTATGCTTGCGTTGGACGGAGGAGGTACGCACTTTCGTGGTTTGGGCATATTACAATAACTAGACCACAGGATACACCACAGTTGAAGGAGAACTACAATATCTAAAATAAGGGAAGAGGGTGATCTGAATTTGGTCAACGTGATCCCCAATTCCAGCATCACCAGTTTGAAACCTGAAATAACAATCTCTGGTAGCATTCAAGATCTTGTTTCTTTCAAGCTAGCTCTGCCTAGGTGTCACAGACCTCCCAAATATCGAATACCGGCTATACAAGGACTTTAGTGGATAAGAAATGCAATCATCTCAAGTATCTATTCTGTACAGACAATAGTTCTGTTCACAGTGATCCATGTGCACGCAACATTCATGGTAATACACATGCCTAGGTGGGAATGGGCCCATAAGGGGTCTTCAGGGACAGGGTCACACCAGTTTAGATTTGCCGCTGCCCTGGACCTGTATAGCACCCTGCAGCTAACCCAAGGTGCTGCACCAAGTGCCAAGTTAGGTGTCCATGCAGGATCCAGTCACCAAAGCTACATTACAGGCTGGCCCCTGAAGCACTCGCCATGGGGTATTGATCGGGAAGCTCCAAGATAACCACCGTGGCTGGGCACAACCACAGAAACTTAATTAAAGACATCATTATGGCAAGAACTAGAGTACATACATCTCCCTCAGTAGAGAGCATATATCCATCACCTAAGGACATTAGCAAAAGTGAGGGATTATTATTAGCATGAGGGATTATTCGGGGGTCCTACAGCTTTGGCCAGTATCCCATCACTTGATGACACCTGCATATGACCCAGTTGTCTCTGAATCTACCTGTGTCCTGTACGGTGAGATCAAGAAAATAGGATTTCTACCTGCAATGATTCATCATGCAGCTGCATGAAAAAGTGTGAATATGCCCTGAGACTATTGTGCTGTTTAATGCGATTTTCATGCCAGTGGTAGGAAAATCTGGTAGAGTACCAACCACAGGACTACTAAACCTGGCAGGCCAGGAGTTTGCAGCATCTTTTGTGCACAAGGGGTGCAGACTGTGTACCATGAGAACAAGTCCATCCTGCTTAGCATACCCCCCAAGCCTGAGAATGCAGTTCTAAGAAGTTGGCTGTGGCCAGGCACCATGATCCCACCCACAACCTAAAGATCAGCTTTGGGTGGACTGAGCCTTTAAGTAAGATTTTGCTTATGGGTAACTTAAAGCGGACCTTTACACTCAAACATCAGATTCTACCAATGCATCCCTCTATGTATGATGATTAATAATAACAGACATGTCAGGTGTAAAAGGCTGTGATTGTGAAATACTTACACTTGAAGAGCATTCACTTCCTACTTTGAAAGGGCAAAATGACTTCAGTTTGGCAAAGCAATGCACACTGGGAATGCCTGGTCATCAGCAGAGCATTGCCGGGAAATCTCATCTGTAATCTCAAAGAGATCTCAGAGAAAGGCATTTTCCTCCCCTGAGATGATGTGCATGGTCACATGTGCCAGAAATCAAGACAGTAAAAGGGGATCTAGTAATCTGCCCTTAGTAAACATGGCCACTGTCAGAAGACTGGGGAGGAAAATAGAAATAAGATATCCAAAGAATGCAAGGCCGGCAATTATCTAGAAGCATGCGTTCGTAGATTGTCATTACTAAACTGGAGTGGGGCTGTCAGTATGTTAGCTGCAGTGCAGTGCGTTTTTGACGCGTTTTGCGTTTCCTGACCGTTTCCTGACCTTACAAAATGTGACATGCAGTATTTTTCTGTCGTAACCTGAACGGACTGCGCACGTGAGAACTGTAGCCCATAAAACACATAGGGATACATTTTTTGTGCAGCAGCGTACGGATCAGGTCAGCACAGAAAACGGACGTCGTGTGAACAGGCCCTAAAGGTGTGTTTTAAAGATAAGGGTAAAAGGTCCGCTTTAACATTCCCAGCAAAAGTTTGCAGGACATTTTTTTTATTATTTTGAACCTTGTTCCATGGACAGGATTTGACTACGCAATGAGAAACTGGGTACTTACCCTTTGCTCGGCTGGTGTGGACCCGGGCACGAACCCACACAACTTCATCGGCTTTTTGAAGAGTCAGGTCTTTTACTCTCACCAGAGCCCTCTCTGGAAAAGAAAAGTCACCATGTAACACAAGGAAACACCCACAGAAGAACCAACACACTGTGTACTCCTATCTGTATGCAGTGTACCTCAGTATAATATGATGCTGCGAAGAGTACCTGTCTGCCATCTGCAAAGCACAATTCTGTTATATCATTTTTGCCTTTGATAAAGGAGCACAGTTCCTGCAGTGTTACACAGGTTTCCTTTCAATATGTGCCCTGCCAGTGATCCTGCCAGGAATGTCCCTGGTTCGGGCACCTTTTGTTGTAAGCCGACAACACTCTCTCTGTGTCTGCTAGTTGTGCTATATTTTCACCATGTCGCACAGAAATCCGATGTAGACCACAAGTGGCAGCTTTAACATACATTACATAACACATGATCCACGGTTATCACCATCAGAAAACCCGACCCAGGAAATGCCATGCAGCCATTAATGGAGTATGATATAGAAAGGAAGTGGCAACAGAAGATCAGCAACACTATGATCCGCAACGGAGATGCAACATAGTATAGAAAGGCCGCCAACAAGTATTTTCTTTTTAAAAAAATACGCTTGTTTCTGATACACGATGCGATGCAAATAAAAATGTCACTGAGTTAGGGTTTAAAGTGAGCATAGATTCACAGATGAAGTCTAACACAGCCACTCCAACAGAAATGGAGACACTCAGGGGGGAATATATCAAAACTGGAGCAGACGGAAACTAGAGCAGTTGCCCATGTAAACCAATCAGCATCTTTCTTCAGATCAGTTTGCCCAGTTTGGATTTGAAAATAAGAGAGAGGAGCCGATTGGTTGCAATGCAAATCTGCTCCGGATTTTGCCTGCTCCAGTTTTGATGAATTCCCCCCTCAGTGTACAAGGTTCTGGGAAGGTAAACTGTTACATAGGTATAGCCACAACTTATTTCCCCGTGCAGATGAGTCAGCAAGAAAGTAACAGGTTTTTCAGAAGAAACAGCTGCAGACAGAACATATAGATAGACGCTGAAATGTTTCCACACTTTGATCTCCTTGTAGATGTTCTGCATTGCCGGTGTGGTCTCACTGAGCACTATATACAGAATCTCATTAGCCGTTACCAAGAGGCTGCTGCTATGCAGCTTTCTACACAAAGAAGCGGCACAAAGTTCCCCCACAAACAACGAGATGAGTCTCTGTGGCTTAGACTGATGGCATCTTATCTGCCACTCTGACCCTTCTTACTGGGTGCATGCATGCTATTCCAAGAAAAAGCAAGGCAGGGACTCTACACTGTTACCGGGTGTCATTTGCCCTCCTTTCTGCTGTAAATCATGGGGCTTAGCCATTTAATTTTATTACAGCATAGTTTAACAAGTTACATCTGTCCTTTCCTGCAACACGATTATGCTATGAGTAAACTAAACAAGGCAGGAAGGGGCATTCCTTGGCCCAAGATTAATAGCAGAAGTAGCGGAGGAGTGAAAGAACAGCTAGCCCGCTACAAGGATGAGCGTAGGATGGGAATCATGAGCAAAGACAGACACCCCTCTGCATTTGACCACCTGAGTAGAAAAGCCAGCGGAGAAGGACACCCTGCTCTCTGTGTGGAAGCAGTGGTCTCCCTGCAGTGGTGCGACATGTCCCCTACTATTGTTATAGCTAAAGCTTTCCAATCAAAAAGGAGCATGAGCTTTAAAGTGACACTAAACTCAGGAGTTCAATCTTAAAAATACATTCAAGTACTTTAAATATTAACAAAAATGTAGCTAATTTGTGTATCACTCGGCTGTAGATCCTCAAATCATCTCTGAATTGGTGCCGACACTGTCCTTCGTTCTGGAGGGGGGCTACTTTTGTTCCCCATGGTCCCTGTGTGTGTTATACAGTAGTCACCGCTCCAAGCTCTCTCCTGTGATTGACTACAATCTTGATACAAATCAGTAAATTAAATATGAGATTGTAGTCCATCACGGAGTGAGCTTGGAGTGGTGGCTACTTTACAACACACAGAGGGACCATGAGGAACAAAAGTAGCCCCCCTCCAGAAGGAAGGACAGTGTCAGCACCTATTCAGAGATGATTTGAGGATCTACAGCCGAGTGGTACGCAAATAAGATACATTTTTGTTAATACTTAAAAGCGATATTAAACCTTTCTTTCTTTTTTTAATATTTGCTATAAGGAGACCCACCTTTGCCTGAGACTGTTCTTTTTCTTTAAAAGTTTTAAATTACTCATTTTCTAGTGGGTCCCCACAGCGCTCTTCCCCCCCGCACCCTGCACAGGTGCCTCCATCGGCTAACGGAGGCACCTGTGCGCGCTCGTGCCCGCAGTGGCTGTGTGCGTCAATAGAAACCCCTTCTCTCTGACCAACACTATGATTGATGGCAGAAGGAGCCTATGGCTCCTCTGCCATCAGTATCCTCCCCCTGCAACCAGGAAGTACGGGGAACGGAGGATCACTTCGGGACCGGCGGCGGGGACGAGAGTCGCTGACAGGTAAGTGTGGGGGGGGTTGAAATAGGGGGAGAAAAGGGTTCTGGGCAGTTTATACCCGAATGCAGAGAATGCATTAAGGTAAAAATCGCTCAGACCTTAATACTACTTTAAAAGGTACTTGAATGTATTTTTAAGATTTAACTCCTGAGTTTAAGGTCACAATAATGACTGAAGAGCTATAGGTCAGTCTTAGCAGGGGGTATGTGGGAAATCTGCAGAAAGACCATTGCACACATAGATTGCAAGGGCCCTTCTCCACCGCATAGGTTTATCTACCCAGGCTGTGGCTGCTTTCTAAAGGACATCGACAGTAAAGCTTTGTGCACCTTTTGTTTTGATGCAACTGGATTGTATTTAGCAGATTTGATTCAATTCATTTGTGCTTTAACATTCGTAAAAAGCTGCAACAAAAAGGCCTTGAATGGGCACATTGGCTGCAAGTAGTACATATGAACAATCAATGTGCAATAACATTTGATCTGATAATAAAATATTTACCTTATTCTAGCGCTGACCACAACAAATATATAAAAGACACTATATACAACACTACTATACATTTCCTATAAAGCAAAAGTCAAAGTCAGTTTACACTCAATCACTGATGCTTCTCATGTGCTTACACACAAAGTATATTATTTGGAAATATTATAATTCCTTACACGATTCTGTACTCCTAAAACTAAGCTGAACAGAAAAAAAATATATATGTCTTTAGACTTTCTTTCTCTGCAGTATTGTAAAAATAAACAGATATGTATGGAATGCATAGAAAGTGTGGTGCCGACACACAATGGTGCGCTCTCTGCTTGAAGCAGCTTTTTCCTCTCTTTGTGCAGAACGGTCAGAAAATAACTGCATGGCCTGTGTCAGGGAGGGGTCACCAGACACAGAAGAAGGACTGCATGAAGTGCCGCACAAGTGGTAAAAACCTGACATGGGGTCATTTCTGGAGAAACATACCATCTCCATAAATTATAACATACGTGGACTGGAAATAGAACTTATCACATCCTATCTCTTCACACAGTTATTCAAGCCGCATCTTGCGTTCACTCAATAACATTTTACTATTACTAGCTAGTATGTATGTATGTATGTAGAATAAGAAATAAAGAAGTGCCTCGCAGTACTAGAGTCCTCTGTTAAATTGGGATTAGGACTATATGGAGTTTGTAAGGTTCACTTGTGTCTGCATGGGTTTTCTCCAGGTGCTTCAGTTTCTACCCCATTCAAACAACAAAATGATCCTGTATTGCCAATACTAAAGTAAAAGCAACAGCTTCCATTTAAAGTACAGGACTATAAACAGCCGGAATTTACCTTCATTGAAGAGTTGCCTCTTCAGTGTTTCTTTTATCAGAGCTGGCCACCTCGCAATTGAAGGCACCAGTGTCGTTTTTGTAGTTTTATGCTACAAAACCTGCACTACACCGCGGGACGCGCTGGTGCACACAGCGATTGCTGCACGGCCTCATTGATTTCAATGGGGTGACATCAACACGGCAATCGCTAAAAAAAGTAACAAAAAGCTAAAAAAATAATAATGTGCGACACAACGCGCAGCTTTTTTTAGCTTAGAAAATAATGGCACCCACAGCGTGATCGGTTCACACCTTGACGACTCCTGACCGCGTGGCAATCGTGCACCAACCGCGCAGATTGCCGCGCTGGTCAGGAGTTGCCTAGGTGTGAACCGAGCCTTAGTGTAGATGAGTGTGCATTTTTATATACGTGCATAAAGGACATTATTGGCTGAAAGCCACACTTGGCCAGGAACAGTTCTATGAACCCTCTGAACAGTCACTACAGCAATCACTCAGATTAGAGAACATTATTATGACCTCATCTCCTAGAGGCAGAAACCATTTAGAGTACAAAAACAAAATCAAAGACTTTAACTCGTCCGGTAACTACAGAATGTGAAAAAAAATATATATAAAATTTCAGCATTAATAATTCATCTAATCAAAAGACAAACTGGCGTAAGACACCTGGGCAGGTGATGAATGTCTGTTTCATTAAGGTGCCTGCAGAAACATGTAGTGCAATTAAAACCAAGAAGGGGGTTTTCTTCCGAGCGGAATTCCCCCGCTAGCTGCCAGCTGTTAATGCGAGAACATCGAATAATATGTGTAACCGTATTCTAAACTGACACCAACAACCAAACCCTTTGTTAATAACGGCCTAAGTAACTGCACTATAAGGCTTACAGTTTTATTTTGCCGTAAGGATCCTTATTTTTAGTCATGTGACTGGTAATTCAATAGTCATTGCTGATAATAACTCATGTTACGTCAAAAAATTTGAGTGTACAATAGGTGCAAAGTACAGAGGAATTAAAATGCATGCTTCAGCAAGTAGGGTCTTGCAAAGTCCCACAAATACTTGTTGATCCTGCCAGTGAAGGATCAACAGGTCCTAATGCAGCTTCTTGTGGTGGGGTGGCAACACTGCTGCACTGCTAAGGGTACTGTTGCCATTCTCAAGTAGGCTGCGCCTGCTTGCACTACAGTTGGCATGGGCAGGGCTATCGGCATTGTCACTGTTGATTGACAAGCCCATAGCTTGTCAATCAGCACCTGGCCCCGTCCACTGCTTTCTGGATTGTCAGCACTGTTTCAGTTGCTGAACGCCTCACTACTGTGCGCTGCAGTGTCTAGGATTTTTCTTCAAGAAGTCCAGTTGCCGTGACTTATTTTTTTTACAGATATAAAGTGTAAAAAGAGTCTAAACATTTAAATAGAACATACCTGGCTTATCTTGTGATTGTATCATGGGGGGAACTCCATATCTGTCCGTGGCAAAGTCCTAGGAAAGAAGAAACATGAAATGAAGAGTTCCCATAGAGAATTACTTTTCTTCATCACACTCATGACGTCAAAATCAGATATTATTTGAGATGTTCTGGGACAAGACTACGTCAGTCATTAAAGAAGAAGTGGCAGCATACCTTATGTCATTAATGTTTCCTATCCCCTTTTTGTGTGCAGTCTTGGCAGCATAATGAGCCTTTTAAAGTGTGGTGTATTATATTTAAGCCAATAGGGTGGCTATGTTGCCTTGCAGGCACCACATAGCCACCATGATGGGTGCCCATCTGGTTGGATGGGGGATATATGTGCTGTGCTTGGGGGAATGCATGTGCATTTCTAGGCAGCGTGCAAGGAATAGTGCTCAGGGGATACATGTGCACTGTGGGCAGCATGCAAAGAATAGTGCTCAGGTGCTGCGTTTGGAGATGCATACACTTAACGGGAAGAGCACACGGAAATTATGGGTCACGGAACCCCTAAGCATTAGATCACACCGGAATCATAACCGGAAGTCGGGGAAGTGCAGCAAAGAAAGGCAGAGATTCTACAACATGAAGCAATGTAAGGCTGAGTTCACACCTAGGCGTATCGAATATGCGCGTTTGTCACGCGTTTTCGTGACGCACATTTTTACCGCGATTCGCGGTAAAAAAAAAACATGCGACAAACGCGTGTTTCCGAGGGCTACTTGGCTGTATCCCAATGGAAACGCGCGGCAAATACGTCCCAATGAAGCTTCTGTACTTCTTTGGGCGTAGGCCGTTTTGTAGCGCGTCGATACGGCCTGTAATACGACCAGGTGTGAACCGTACCCATAGGAAATAATGGGATTTCGGTGTTTCAGCGTTTTGCAGAGCGTACGAACACGCTACAAAACGCCCAGGTGTGAACCGGGCCTAAGTGTTTATAGCAGAACTCAGGAAAATAAAGTTTGTCCTATACAGCTGATAAAGTCGAATTAGATAAACAGGATATTTCACTCGGGGTTCAGTGCTACCTCAATGAAAGACCACTTTAAGCTCCAATGATGCAGCTTACATAGCAAGCAAGAAGGGATGGAACATAATAAAAGTGAAAGCCGTCATAATGGCACCGCCATTTTAAGTTGAGAAAAGTAACACGTACGATATGTAAACCTGCTAACATTTTGTTGTGCGAAAACCACATGGAGGTGCAAAGCACACCTACACAACCCCGAGACCCACTTCTCGAATCCTATATAGCAGAGGGTCTGACACTTACCTCTCCTTCATCTGCCTGCTGCTCAGATGCCTACAAAGGATAAAAGGAAAAACAATCTTAGCAAACAATGAAAATAGAAAAACAAAACAGCACACCGCATTCACAAGAGGAGAAACTTTTCTTGCCAAGCATGAACTTTTTTTCACGCAATTAAAATGCTTCTTTAGCAAGAAATGTCATACAATTGTCTTCACACATCCCATGGCTGATGGTTTGCAAATGATAGGTAATAATTCTACTGCTAACTGATGGCAAAATTCTGCAAACCCCAGCAGTTCTTGGATATTGTACCTTGCAAAGTTACACGCATACATTGGCTGTGTTAGGACATTTTCAGGAAGCTCTATGGTCTGCTGTGCCTGAAGCCAAACTTCATCTTTTCATTGAAATGAATAAATAGGTGGTCCAGCATGTTTAAAAATGTAAAACCAGCTTTTTAAATACTTACCTCCTCCGCTGGCACTGCCCCTCAGCCCCGACTCACCAGTCTGCAATACAATGTGGTCCTCTTCGGGGGCTGAATGATGTCCAGCACCATCAAACCCACTTCTTCTGGAGTCCCAGCCGTTACAGACAAACCCCCCTGGAGCAGTATCATTATGCCAGTCAGGATAAAGTCCACAAACCCATTGCACTCGAAACCGCTATTCCAAAATAATGAGTGGGTGCTGCGGCTGTCGATAGTTGCCAACCGTATTAATCACAAATAAAATATATAGACACCGCCACTCCAATAGAAAATCAAATACGTCAAAGGAAATATGAGCAGCATAACGTGATACCCTCAATGCAATGTTTCGGGGTCTCACAGGATCCCATTCATCACTTGTTTTGCCTGATGAAGGGGATCCTGTGAGACCCCCGAAATGTTGCATTGAGTGTATCACGTTATGGTGCTCATACGTCAATAAATAGAAGTATTTGATTTTCTATTGGAGTGCCGGTGTCTATATATTTTAATTGCGCCAATCAGGGCTCACAGTACTACGGGACACAACGGAGCTCAGACATCGTTATGTAAGTGCCATGTTGTCCCTCCGGAAAGGAAAGTAATTTTGACCACCATCACCTACAGAGGAGGTGGCCTGGGGACCACAAAAAAAAAAACTAAAATGTTTTGATACTCGAACATAAAATGGGTGCAAGTAGAACACGAGCCCAGTAGATGAATATATATGTATGTGAACAGTTATAACTGAAAATATATTATTAATGTTGTTGGGCAACTCTTAGACCCCGTTCACATTGAGCGATTTATCGCGCGGTAATTCCCGCTATATCGTGGCAATTTACCGCGCGACATCGCTCTCCAATGCTTCTCAATGGGGCAAAGGGTCCTGCTGTCGCGGGTCGTGTGTCGCTACAGCAGGACCCTTTTTGGAGCGGATTTAGCCGCGATTCCAGCTTGCTCAATGCAAGCATTTGCGCGATATCGCGCGATTTGCGAACCGCTCAATGTGAAAGGGGCCTTAGGCTCGCCATACACCTATCAATTGTTTTCATTCAACTCGCGGGTTGAATGAAAAAAATTGACGCAATTCCTCCATCAACACAAACAGCGCATTGATCGAGGAATCCCGATGTTGCATTGCATTAGGACAGGTGCTGCCTGCACCTGTCATAATACCCGATCAGAGCGGGCATTGGCTGCTGCCTCTGATCGCACAAGGATTTTCCCAGCCGGCTCCTTCGATCAGCTGATCGAGGAATGCCAGCTGAAAGGGAGCCAACAGCCCACGCAATGTGTGAATTTCGGCCGGTACATTAAAAACTGCCCGAAATTCGGCCAGTGTATGGGCACCTTAACAATTTATTGCCTACCTATTCTCCCTTATCAGTGTGCAAACATAAGGTAGGGCTGGATAAATCCCGGGAGCCAGGTAGGCAATGCTCCTTAGAAATTACAGCCGGTGCCTAGCATTTTAGTTTTTCCTTAGCTGTGGTCAATGGAGCTGGACTCTGTTACATATAAGGATCACCCTAACCGTCCCCTCCGCTCTTCCAGAGACCTCCTGCTTTCCAGCTCCCTTGTCAACTCCTCCCATGCTCACCTCCAGGACTTCTCTAGAGTCTCTCCCATCCTCTGGAACGCTTTACCCCAACCTGTCCGTCTATCTCCCACTCTGACTGCCTTGAGTCATATCGGAGCTATCCCTTTGCTTCATCCAGGATGCAGAGAAGACGGAAAAGGACCCAGCTTGTCACGTCACCCATTGTATAAATACTCGCTCCTCATTGGCTTACCGCTACACAGGTTATCCCCCTTCAGTCTATCATGAATGCAGCTGCCAGACTCATTCACCTAACCAACCGCTCAGTGTCTGCAACCCCCCTCTGCCGATCCCTGCACTGGCTTCCATCCCCCACCTCCCTCTGCCAATCCCTCCACTGGCTTCCAATAGCCCAAAGGATAACATTCTAAAAATTAACGACTTACAAAGCCATCAACAACTCTGCCCCCGGCTATTTCTCCAACTTTGTCTCAAAGTATCACCCTAACCGTCCCCTCCGCTCTTCCAAAGACCTCCTGCTTTCCAGCTCCCTCGTCAACTCCTCCCATACTCGCCTCCAGGACTTCACTAGAGTCTCTCCCATCCTCTGGAACTCTTTGCCCCAACCTCTCTGTCTATCTCCTACTCTGACTGCCTTTAGGCGTTCCCTTAAGACTCATCTCTTCAGGGAAGCCTATCCCACCTCAACCTAACCACTCAACCATCACATTCTCAAACAATTCATCCCCACACAGCTACCTCCTCATGTATCACTTGCCCTTCCCTTTTAGATTGTGAGCTCTCAGGGGCAGGGCCCTCCTTACCACCTTGTCTTGAATTGTAATGTTTTCCTTATATTGTAAAGTGCCGCACAAACTGTTGGCGCCATATAAATCCTGTATAATAATAATAATATACCATTGAAAGAGTTTTGTTACATCAGTTGATAAGTGAACAAAATAATTCCTGTTGACCCTGCCAGAAATCCAGGGATCTCCTAACTTCTGTACAAATCGTAAGCAGTGTTATGAGCCCAGTTTAGTTAATCCGTGACTGCCTACCCCTGTGTTATGGAGATACAATCTACACCCAAGACCAAGCCAAAAGGTCCAGTGTAAATAGGGAATATGTCGTTTTGTTTTTTTAGTCTTGAACATAAATAAATAAAATATATAAAAATAGCCCACTATACATGTCCTCATAGCTGTGCACCCTTAGGTCTCAGGGAAGGGTGTTGGTCCCATTATTCACTTATTTATTGCAGCCATTTATATAGTGCCTTTGACTGATACGATGATTCACTTGTATTCTCTCCTTGTCGGAGCAAAAAAGGTGTCAGTGAGCAAAGCCTTTTGATTTCATCAATGTAATTCTGACACCACTGTTGACATATGACAGTTTTTACATGTCTGCTGTCTGCACTGAGCTCAGGCCACAGACAGGATGACTGTATAGTCTATAACACTTCTATTCTAACAGGGAGCAAATAAATACAAGTAAAGAATATACAATCAAGTAATCTCTAAGAGGTGAAGCTGTACTAGTATCAACATTTAAAGAGACACTATCACCAAAGAAAAAGTGACAATGTCTCTGTGAAGCCTTCCTCCCCCCAAAAATTTACAGTCACCTTTCTGGCAATACCCCGACATGCCTTTCTCTGTGGCAGCCCCCACCAAAATACCTTGCGTCATTGGTGTAAGATCAGTGACACACCAGTGCTTGGGCCCAGAAAGTCTCCTCAAACACTGCATCATGGCAGGAGGTAGAGATGCACCAAAACCGTTTTTTTTGGTATCGAGTAGCGATATTTTGCTTTCGGTACTCGCCGATACCGAATACCGGCGCTTCCGCTGGCATGAAGCCGGCTTCCTGGGCAATCAGGAAACCAGGCAGCAGGTAATGATCCACCTTCCTGATTGACCGGAAAGCCGGCTTCCCAGCCAAACAGCATTCAGACGGCTGTTCGCCAGCTTAATACTGATTGGCCGGGAAACCGGCTTCCCAGCCAATCAGCGGGACATTACTCGCCACCCTGCTTGCCGATTAGACGGGAAGCTGGACCCATATTCCCCTACGGCACTGCCAGTCAGAGGAAATCTTCCTCTGACCGGAGAGTCTGGTATCGGAGAAGGTATCTGAGCATTTGGGCGAGTACTTGCTGAAATACTCAGAATCAGCACCGATACTAGTATCTTTATCAGTGCATCCCCTAGTAGGAGGTCATATTGGTCCCCGGAAACTAGAAGGACCAGGTTTTTGCATGGACAGCCAAAAGAAGGAGCGGCAGGGGAGCACTGGAAAGGTGAGTACAAAGTATATGGGGTGAGCTTTACAAAGACACAGTCAATTTGCCTTCTTAGACCCCATTCACACCAGGGTGATAGCGTTTCAGCACGCTTTAATAATGTTTTTGTTTAATTTGTTCATATGTAATTGCTTTTTAAGGCGCAATTTCAGCTTGTTTTCAGTTGTCCAATGAAAAGCAGTCTCCGCTGCAAAAAACACGCTGATCGGCGCGTTTCCATTGAAGTCTATGGAGCCAAACAAGCTGACAAATGCACAAAAGAAGCTCAGAGACTATTTCAAACAACAGGCGTATTTTTACACGCGATTCAGCGTGTTTACATGAACGGCCTCCATAAAAATACATGGGATTTTAATTTGCATGCTTTTCAGCGTGAAAAAAAAAAGCGTGACGAAACGCCCTGGTGTGAACTTAAATGTTATGACACAGGACCATTGATGAAAGGTCCTCTTTCCCACAGATCAATAAAGCGGGCCTCAGGACTGACCACTTTGGCTTGCTTCTCTGCTTTTTTTGCTGCTTTCTCGGCTTCCTTCTGTTGTTTCTTCATGGCTTTCTTGGACTGGGCCTGGTCCTGGTCCTCGGCAGCACTGCAAAACACAAATAGAGAAGGAGAGTGAGCCCGGAAAACACGGCGCAATATTAAAAAGGTGACCTTGCCGATTCCAATTGTTATTTATTCCACTTCCTGTGGGAAGTGTTCAGTCAATGGGAAACTCAGGTTCCATTCATAGTATCGGAGGGGGTGCAGCTAATCCCTTTGTCTGGCTGAAACGCTTGTTTCGGCTTTCCTTCATTCAGTGAAGCTTTTCCCTCTGGCCGACAATAAAAACAGGAAATTTCTGGGGAAGCATGTGTTTGGAAAGAACAGCCATGGGATATTTCTTTTAACACGTATTTCAGACACAGAATGAATGAAGAGATGCTTCTTCCAATTAGGATGCCGACAAAAAGTGGCGATTATGTGAACCCAGATGACTTTCTGACCCAAAGTTGAGGACTGCATGTAAAAATCAGTGGCCAATTAATGCCATCCATTTACATTCTATATAACCCACTACAACAACATTCAGAGGACTCATTAGGCTGCTTTTATGGGGGACCCTATTGCCATATGATTTTTCTCTTTGCAACCACCCTCTCACGTTACACGCTGTGTGAAAACAAGCATATAAAGAGGACAGAGCTGGAATCGGTGAACACCGTGGCCTTCATATTCACTGGCTGAGGATCCAACATAGGAAACAAACCTACAGCTAAATGGGGTTTAGTCAATGTGGCAGGCAGAGGAACAAAAAAAAAAAAAAGCTACGATGCCTTCCCCGTTACCGGAACTTCCGGTCAGAGGAAGATTTCCTCTGACCGGCAGTGTCATAGGGGAACATGGAGCCGGCTTCCTGGGCAATCAGGAAGATGGGTGGCTAGTAATGATCCGCCTACTGACTTCCTGATTCGCCGGGAAGCCGGCTCATGCTACCGGCCAATCAGGAAGCCGGGTCATTGCTCCCTGCCCAGCTTCCTGATTGGCCGGGAAGCCGGCTCCATGCTGATTGGCTGGGGAGCCGACTACCCGGCCAATCACAATTGAGCCGGCCAAAACAACATGGAGCCGGCTTCCCGGGCAATCAGGAAGCCGGGGCGGCATGTCATTAGCCGCTGCCGGGCTACCTGATTGCCCGGGAAGCCGACTCCATGCCAGCGGAAGCAGTGGTATCGGTACTCGGTGTCAGCGAGTACCGAAAACAAAATATCGGTACTCAATACTGAAAAAACGGTATAGGTGCATTCCTAGTCAGAATAGTCAAACCTCTCTGGACAGAAATATGGAAGCTGCCTCGGAGGGTGCACATTCCAGTGCCATCATCCTGGTGCTTCCCCCCAAAAATAAAAAAATCGGAAAGATATTACTCATATTTCTGTTCTCAGAGGTCCCTTTGTTGAAAAATGTTTTTGCTGACCAGAACAATATAAATATATACACAGAAGAAATAAATAGAAAGATGAAGTGTTTGGTGAACAGCTTCTATTAATGTGAATGTAAAGGCAAAACATTTTTTCATACCATCCTCTTCCCTTCTTCTAAAAACTCCTACTCCCTAGCTTCCTAGTCACCTCTGGGTGAGGGCTGGTGCAGACCTGGGTAATCTAGGACGCGCGATCGTGTGCGGGTGCACACAGCGGTTGCCATGCAGCCCCATGGATTTCAATGGGATCACACCTGCGAACAAATGCTGAAAAAAGACACATGTACCATTTTTGGCGACACGCACTATGCGTTTTTTTTAACTGCGATCGTGTGCGATCACACGGGCGTTTTTGCGGTGGGAAACCGCACAATCTGCCTGGGGCGCCATTATAAATGGCACCCCAGTCGCCCCGCGATTGGCAGCGCTGAGCGATTCCGTGACGGCGTGGCCATCCGCACGGTGTTTCATGCACAATCGCCGCGCGGTCACGGATCGCCAAGGTGTGAACCTAGCCTCAATTGTTGGCACTATACTGTATAAAAACCTGTAATAAATAAATATTGTAAAGCACTGCGGCGCCATATAAATCCCCCAACATATTATATAATGAGTGACACACAAACACCCCCCCCAGTCCCAGAAAATATGTGCACACACACAAACCTATAAACTATTTTGATCTCCTGCTGGCTACAATGTACCAATTATAGATCCCCAGGAGGCCTATACGTTGAGAGCTTCTGTAAACAATCTTCAAAGTTGAGTTATAAGCCTCTGCTGACAGAGGACACTCTCGGTTTGTACACACACATACAGGAACGCTGAGAGCCGTGACGATTCATAGGAGGATGTGAACAGCGGCTCAGCCAAAATCCCAGCAGCCAGGAAAACAGCACAATCGCTCCGGCAGGTGTCACTTAAAAATACATGCATTAAAAGTCCGAGGCTTGCGTGCACCTGCCTGACGCTGGGCACTGTTCTCTGAATCACGCCTTGTCATGCCTCACTCTCATCCTGTAACAAGCTGCCTGGATGGCAAAAACAACAAAAATCGCATTAGTCATCGAGGACGTGACAACAAACACTCCAGATCCAGAAGAATAAGACAAAAGCAGAGGATGAAGTAACAAGTGTGCACAGCTGAAAACAAACAGAACTAATGTTGGTGCTGGAATGGGCCTTGAAGCTGCCTCCGCTAAATCCTGGTCCATTTACACCTGCCCATTCTCGTGCATCGAGCTAAAGCAGAACTCCGGGCACAAGTTTTATTAACCCTTTGCAGTGGTGCTACCCCCACACTGCAAGGGTTAACTGCTCCTTTTGGTCTAGGTAAAAAGCCAGCCAGCTCAGAGGATCCTCCCTGGACCAAAACGAGCAGTTAACCCTTGCCATGCAGGGGTAGCAACAATGCAAGGGTTAGTAAAATTTGCGCCCGGAGTTCTGCTTGAATGCACTTTAATTCTCACATGTTAATGTGCACTGCTTAGGGCTGGTTTACACCACCTAGCTGCACTGAACACACTCCCGCTGGTTGCGTTCAACGCATGGCCGCTGAAGGAGAATAGTGCTGACGCACCAATCCGCTGCAGTGCACTGTTTTTTGTTTTTTTTGTTAGAACTTTATTCAAATGACATAAGTGACATTTCATTAAGTTACATCGGCCACAGCACAGTGGGATGTGGTTGCACTACGTCACACCACACTGCGCTGAAAAAAGTACTTCATGTAGTACTTTCATTCAGAGCACACCACTGTAGCGTCTTGCCTTGCAAATTCCCTTACTTCCCCCAGCATAACCAGTGTGAAAGGGCCCTTAGGAAGCACGATCCCACAATGCACTGCACTAGAAAAGTGTGAACTAGTAACAAACAGAGGTCCGGCACACAATTTGGGTTGTGCTGCTTGTACAGAGCATGCTTTGTAAGAAGGAAAGCACACAGGTGACATCATCCGTGTGTTTATGCTCCTTTATTAGGCTATGGGCCCTGCACTAGACGTGGGCCTCCTAGGAAAGAAAAGGCCCTGGTTACTGGTCATCCAGCATGGAGGGAGCAGAGATCACGTAAGCCCTTTACCCAGGTACCCTAGACCTGAATGAGCATTTAGGCCTGGTTCACACCTGGGCGTTTTGTAGCGCGTTCGAACGCTCTGCAAAACGCTCAAACACCGAAATCCCATTATTTCCTATGGATATGGTTCACACCTGGGCGTATTACAGGCCGTATGAACGCGCTACAAAACGCCCTACGCCCAAAGAAGTAAAGGATCTTGTTTGGGGCGTTTTTGTCGCGCGTTTCCATTGGGATACAGCCAAGTAGCCCTCGGAAACGCGCGTTTGTTGCGCGGTTTTTTACCGCGAATCGCGCATATTCGATACGCCTAGGTGTGAACCCAGCCTTAACAACTGCAGCACGGGGACAGCCACACTGTAACAAAAATCAGAAGAGGACACCCAACGGCAGCCCAAGGAATGCAGAAAAGCATGAAGGGGAACACAATATCCTGCCCGCATCTATGCCATGGCACGGGCTATATCCTTAAATTGTAACATCTCTCCCTACCCCTGGACAACAGAAAAGCATTGGCTAAGCTTGCATGACATGACTTCTGGATTAAACTGATATCTAAGGTATTTGGCAGCTTTTTTGATTCAATGGATTGAGCCGAGTCCAGGGAAGGGCAACTAAGCTAATTTAGGCCCCATTCACACTGAGCGATTCACAAATTGCGCATTTGACGCGCGATATCGTGCAAATCCTTGCATTGAGCAAGCTAGAATCGCGGCAAAATCCGCTCCAAAAAGGGTCCTGCTGCAGCGACACACGACCCGCGACAGCCAGAGCCCCATTGCCATGCATTGGAGAGCGATATCGCGTGGGAATTACCGCGTGATAAATCGCTCAGTGTGAATGGGGCCTAAGGGGATGGAGGACCTAAGCTATGAGACAAGGTTACTAAATCTAAACATGTTCACACTGGAAGTGAGGAGATTAAGGGGGGACATGATTTTGATGTACAAGATGTTCAATGGTGATGGCAACATCAGCAATAAACTTTTTACAGTAAACTCCATAACAAAGGACTAGAGGTCACCACCTAAAACTGGTGGAGAAAAGATTTATCCACACAGCCCTGGTTCACACCTGGTCGTCTTACAGCGCTGATCGACGCGCTGTAAAACGCCCAGCAAGTGAAATTCCATCATCTCCTATGGGCATGGTTCCCACCTGGGCGTATTTCAGCGCGTAAGAACGCTCTGAAAAACGCCCTACGCCCAAGAAGTACAGGAGCTTCTTTGGGACGTATTTTCCGCGCGTATCCATCAGGATACAGCTGGATAGCCCTCGTAAACGCGCGTCTCGTTGACTGCAAATCACGTCAAACGCGCATATTTTACGAACGCCCAAGTGTGAACCCAGCCAAAGGGTGTAAGAGCTTAATTTCAGTTAGAGCGGTTAAAGTCTGGAACTCGCTGCCACAAGCAGTGGTATCAGCCGAGAGTATTGAGTCATTCAAAAACCATTTAGATACCTTCCTCAGAGACCGCAACATACAGGGGTACAGGGACTCTTAAAAACAAGACCGCACATGGACTCGTGTACACACATACACAATCACACAC